AAGATAAGAACCAAGATGCATCATGTAAAGGTACAATTCCCAATGAGAAATGTAATTGTGTTGTATACCTACAATGTACCAATAAAAGAATTTAACAAAAAAAAATATGTCTAGGAGAATATCTGTCCTTGGGTTCAATTAGGTCACCAGAGAGCTCAAAAACAGACCAACACAGTCAGGTTACACCTGGCTCATGTGAGTTCATGCTGTGCTACACAGTGACCACGCATCTGAAGCAAAAGCAGAGGGAATTCCATGAAAACTGGAAGCCTTGAAACTCGCAGGTATGGCCTACTTTTAAACTACAGGCAGTATGGTTGTGAACTCTGCTTTCTTTTGTTCCCAAACCCTTCTGTCTTCTTGCCAGGTTGTAGTACACAAGTGAAACTCCTTTTTGAATGCAGGACCCTGGGGAATGAATCTCAGATGACCAGGGCCAAGGGACGTCTCATAACCCTCAGCCTTGTGAGCAGCACTTCCATGTAGATGTCATTCACTGCAGAGCAGAGGGCGTCTCAGAAGTGAGGACACAGGACATGCAGGTGAGGGTGGCTTCACTGAGAATGTACCGCACTTCCTCAAACCCTGTGAACTTCTGATTAAGTTGATGTGAATTCTAGTAGAGCTGGCAGAAAATTCAAATCAATTGCAATTTGCTTTAGAATTCCATGTAATTTATGAAAATCACAGACTTCAACTAAATAGCATTGGGCAAAAATAGACTTTAAAAATAATAGAATGAACAGTGGCAATGTTTACACTGAGCTTATGATATGCCAGGAACACTCTGAAGTATTTTCCCCCAAGAAAGCTTTAGACTTCACAATGAAGCCCAGTCCCCCATGGCCCACTCTGGACAGGTCCCGATACTGAGATAAGGAAGGAATAAGACATCTGCCCGAGGAAGCATCTAGTAAGTGTTTGAATCCAGGGCTTCCGGCCCCAGGTCTGCTGTTAGGGGCTACACGGCCTCATTCTCTAGGGTAAGACACTCCTACCGCTGAGATTCTCCCGCACAAGGGTCATCATACATTCGGTCAGCACCAAGTATGGGGGCATTTGACAATAAATAAATCAGTTTGGGATTTTTAATTCAAATCACTGATGCAAACTTATAACAAAAGTGACTCAAAGAAATAAAAAAGTGACTTAAAAATAAAATTAAGAAGTAGGAGCATTTTATTCCCTTATCTAATTAGTAGACATTGTTTTATGGATTTTGGAGCCAAATTTCTCAGTGTAGAACTGGGGCTTTGTGTTTATTAATAGTGAGAATCAGAGTAAAATATCTAACTCTCTCAACTGCATTATGTCCTTTCTATAAAATGATCATCATTTTGGTATTTACCTCACATAGTTTGCATAAGGATCAAAGGAGACAACATTTGTGTAGTAGTGCTTGGGACCCTGCCCAGGGTGAGAAATCTACTCAACTCATCTGATTGGGGAACTAAAAAGCACTTTTTAAATTTTCCACCAGAGCACTGACAGAATAGCAGCCTCTTACTGTCGAATGCAGTGCACATTCTCCACTGTCACAGCAGGTTTTCACACTGCCATGCCTCAAGTTTTCTGCAGTTCAGAAGACTGCAGTTTCTTCAGTTTTCATCCAAGTACTACATGTTGTGACACCCACTGATTGTATTCCACTGGATTTTCCCACAGATGATGGAAGGAATACATAGAATAATAAACACCAGGAAACTCTAAAAGTTTTAATAACAAATGGGTCTTAACCACCATCTATCTATTTCAAGGTTTCCATATAAGAAAATTTTATACGTGTATTTCCCACTGTAAAGCTCACTGTCAGCCCACTCAGAATCTGGCCCATGCTTGATTACTTGGTCCCATATTGTGTAAATCTAAAAATAGTGACATTCTAAGAAGTAGAGTGAATGTTTTGCAACACAGAATAATAATTCAGCAAAACCCTAGACCACAATAGCACACAGCAATACTGACCTAGACTTCAGTGCTTGGATTAAAAACAACAGTAACTCCCAGGCATGGTGGTGCACGCCTATAATCCCAGCACTTGGAAGGCTGAGGGAAGAGGATTGTTGTGAGTTCCAGGCAAGCCTGGGCTTCACAGAGAGATCCTATCTCAAAAACAAGTGGTAAGTCGATTTGGGAGCAGAGCACAGGCCCGGGAGTAGGGCAGAAAATCAAGCTCTGTTCAGCAGGAGACTGGAGTGCATGTCCCAGTGCTCCTCGAAAGACTCAGTGTGATTAGCAGCGGCACTGGGGGCTCCCGTGAGCGGTTAGAAAAATAAGGACACAGCCAATATTTTTAAAGATTGATTATCCCATAAGAATTATCAAATTAATTTTAGTTATTCCTCTTAAAATTTGGATTGTGATCTTTTGTTTTCTATATCACTATTACAGTACAACCATAAATACTTATTGTGAAAGCATTTAAAACTAAAATCTTTGGTTCTATGGCTATAAAGTCCTAAAAAAATTCAGGTGCAGAACTTTGCTTTGTTGTCAGTAAGATTTTCTTCCTTTTGTGAGATTCTGTAGCACAGAGTCTTCCAGGAAAATGAACAGCCTTTGATGAGAGACAAGGACATTCATGGGCTCTCTGGGAGTTAGCTGGCTTAAGCTCATCTACTAAGTGCTGCCTCTGAAGCGAAATAGTAATAACGCTGTGTGCATCGGGTTTAGCTTTGTTGAGCACAGAGCACAGCGTGTGCAGGCCTGGCCTATCTGGGGAAGGTTCACAGCTATTCTACATGGACATGACTGGCTTTGCTTCCTCTTAAGCCTACACTGGCTGTGTGATCTGTTTCTTCCTTCTGAAGACTGAAGGCACTTAGGGTTTGGAACCTACACTTCCAACAATGTGAGCCATAATGTTCAAAGTAGGGAGTCATGCTTTATTCTCTGCCCACTGTGGAAAATTTGTGTGTTGAGTCCAGCCAGTGTCTGGGTGTACAAGGAACCATTTATGCATTTGTGCAGTGCATTGGTGTGAATGGTGCTCCAGTTAGGGCGGCAAAGCAAAATCACAGTCTTCCCTCTCCTGGGAAAGATTTTCCAAAATGACAAACCAAATATTCTCCATTGGAGGAGAACTAAAAATTAGAGAAGTATGTTATTATATTTATGAACTCCCAAGGTGCTGGAGAATTTAAAGTTCCTAATGAATTTTAGAAAAAGATATTCTGACTCTTCACCTGAAAAAATTAAGAGTTATTGCATATAAATTTTATTTACCATGTTAGAGTTCATAAGAAGAGAGGATATTAATGTTTATTCTGCATGTAATCTGAATAAAAGCTACCATGTAGTATATATTTACACATTCTTGGTTAGGTATGTTTATTTCTATTTCCTATAGAGTAAGAAATATTATCAGCAAATTTCCAAACAGCGAGTTTCCACGTATACACAAATTCACAAACATTGGTTCGTATTCACAATCATGGCTTCATCCCATGTTTTACGTTCAAGAGTCTCACCTTACAATTAAATCTCACCTTTCACCTTCCAAGTTCAAATAGTCTTAAGCTACTTAAATGTGTTTACAATTATATTATGTTTACTATTTAATAAAGACAGTGATGTCTCAGAGAGGGAGTTGTGATAGGCAAAAAGAAAAAATGCAGTTCTATAATCACGGATTTAAGTAAGAGAATCATCAATGATTACAATTAAAAAGGTCTAATTTGAATTTTAAAAATCATGCATTTTGAATGGCTTTTGCCTCGTATCTTAACCACATTGTCATCAATTTATTTAAATTATATGCAATAGCAGAATGGCTACCACCTCCCACCAGATGCCCGTGTATTAAATTGTGGAGTGCCTTAATGTATCCCCTTAAATGATAAAGGGAATTTGCAGATATGACTGTTAATGATGAAGACATTAATTATCTTGGTTTACCTGCAAGGGTCCAGAGTTTCCCCAAGGGAGGTAGAATGGTCAGATACATTAGATGCAAGGCCAGAAGCAGAGAGTTTAGGGAGAAGGAAGGTGCTCAGCCTCAACTTTAAGAACAGAAGAGGCTCAGGGTAAGGGATGCGGTATTTAGAAGTTGGAAAAGGCAAACTAATTCCCTATAACAGCCTCTGAAAGGAAATGGGCTGCTAATACCCACACCGAGACCCACTGCACTTACTTCTCTAGAAGAAGAAGATTTCTAATCGCTACTGTTTCAGGCCATGGAGTCCACGATAATTCGTGACTGCAGTAACAAGCAATTCCTGCAGAGAGTGTGACACAGGACTCTTTGTGAATCGATGTTGCTCATACTATCACTGTCAGTGGCCACTGCCTCCCATCCCGGGATGGATGATGAACCTGAAATGCAGAATTAGCTCAGTTACCTCAGTAGTCATGTCTCAGGTGTCCTCCTGTCTAACTTTGTGTTTTCCCCCTTTTCCCTTAGTGCTGGGTGTGAGCCCAGGCCCTTGTGCATGCCAGGCAGCTGCTCCACCGTGGAGCTATTCTTCAAGCCACTGTCTTCATGCTGTGAAGCTTCTCTGAATTGTTTGTAAAACCTGAGGATGTGACATAAAGGAATGATGCGAAATAGATCGGAGAGTTGAGCTGAACCACACTCCGACATGTTCACAGATGCAGAACCCCCGGACCCGTTTCATAACTTAGGTCCAGTTCTTTTCCTGGCGGCAGAACGCTTCTCCTTTGCAGAACGCATGGAACGCAGTAGGCAGAGACACTATGCCAGGCCATGAGCAGAGCCTCTTCCTGCCACACAGAGATCCTATTTTAACTTAATTTAACTCACCACACCAAACAGAGTGCTGGGGCCTCTGAACTGCATGTGGCTCTCACGTTTCCTTGTCCTGCTTGGCCCTCTCTGGCTGCAGTTGCACAATGGTGAACTGCACACAAGTCTCAGAGTTTGTCTTACTTGGCTTCAGAGGGGGCCCGGGAACGCAGATCTCGCTGTTCCTTGTGTTTCTGGCCCTGTACACCGTGGCCGTGGTGGGGAACTGTGGCATGATTGTGCTCATCAGGGCCGACGCGTGCCTGCACACCCCGATGTACGCCTTCCTCCAAAGCCTGTCCTTGCTGGACATCTGCTACTCCTCCACTATTGCGCCCAGGGCCCTGGTGGACTTCTGGGTCCGGGGCCACACGGTGTCCTTCGGTGGGTGTGCAGCCCAGTTCTTCTTCCTGTCCCTCTTTGGCACCACCGAGGCCTTCCTGCTGGCCGCCATGGCCTACGACCGCTTCATTGCCATCTGCAGCCCCCTGCGCTATCCCGTGACCATGTCGCCCCAGCTGTGTGCACACCTCGTGCTGGGGTCCTACTCTTGGGGGGCCCTGAATGCTCTCACGCAGACGACCATGACCTTCACGCTGTCCTTCTGCGGGCCCAACGAGGTCAATGACTTCTTCTGTGACGTGCTTCCCGTCTTGTCCCTCTCCTGCTCCAACACCTTCACCAACCAGCTGGTTCTGCTTGGCCTCTGCGGCTCCATCATCGTCGGCACCTTTCTCGTCACGCTGGTCTCCTACATCTACATCATCTCAGCAATCCTGAAGATCCGCACCGCGCAGGGACGCCACAAAGCCTTCTCCACCTGCGCCTCCCATCTCACCGGGGTCTGCCTGTTCTTCGGCACCGTCTTCTTCATGTATGCACAGCCCAGCGCCGCGTCCTCCATGGAGCAGAGCAAGGTGGTGTCCGTCTTCTACACCGTGGTCATCCCCATGCTGAACCCGCTCATCTACAGCCTGAGGAACAGCGACGTACAGCGTGCGCTGAGCAGGGCCAAGCGCAGGCTGTCCTGGCTGTAATGGTGCCGTGGGCCCCAGGGCCAGCCTGGGGTCCACCCTGAACCTCGACTGTGCCGGGTGGCGGACTTCAGGATGCGGCTTTCCGGGTCCCTGTGGATGCCCTGTCTGCATCCCGGGCTGTGGTGTAGGAGAGTTTCGGTTGACTTGATGTCTTCACCAGCAGCAGAAGTGTGGCTCACGAGGGAAGATGTTGAGGACTGGAAGACTGGGCGACTGAGTGGATGTTTGTATGGGTTTTATCCTGTATGTTCCGTAGCATCCCGGTAAACCTCTAATAGAAAATATCTATGTAAAAATTGTATACTTTTACAAAGTCAGTAAAATGTTTATCTTGAATACAATTCACTAAGTATATATAAAGGTTAAAAAGAAGCTTTGATATTTAATCTAAAATATTTATAAATGTATAAATTAGTAATTAGTATTTTCCATTTTAAAAATTTTAACAAATTGTATTGATAAATAACATTGTAATCATCTTACGGAGGTATAATTGACACGCAATAAATTCACACAGCATGTCCAATAGGTGACGCTTAAGACGTGAATTCGCGTGTTGTCACCCCACAGTGAGGGTCACAAACATATTCATCCCGCAGCCGTTCCGTGGACTCCTTTGCAATGCTGCTTCGGTTTCCCAGGGAGAAGCTCCCTGTTTCACACAGCCGCTGATGTGCTTCTACCACCGCAGAGCAGCTCACACTACCCCGAGCTTCACATAAATTGAATTACGCATCATGTGTCTTTGGAGTATAGAAGGACTTGGGCTGTTGCGCTTAGCATACTTATTTTGAGATTTATCTAATTTGTAGCCCATATCAATAGTTTATTCTCATTCTTATCCGGATACTATTTCATTGTGTGACTATAGTACATGAGTATGCTATATTTATCCATTCATGTGTTGATAAATATTTGGATTATTTCCATTTTGGGGCCTTTACAAATGTGGTTGTAACGGCCATTATTTTATGTACAAGCATTGATATGGGCATCTGCTTTAATTTCTCCTAAGTGAACACTTAGAAATGTAGGTTCCAGAATTCAGTCATTGAATGATTAATATTTAAAAAACTATCAAAGAGTTTTCCAAATCATTTGTAGTATTTTACATTTTCACAATGTGTCAGTCCAAGATTCTCTAGATCCACAATAAAAATTGACATTTTCTGTCCTTCTTGTGTAAGTTATTTTAGTGAATATCCAATGGTATCTGGTTTTAATTCTAAATGACAAATAGTGTTGAAAATTCTTTCATGTGTTTGCTCTTCATCTTCATATCCTTGTTTTGTGAAGTACATACCTATTTAAATCTTTTTTCATTTTTTTCTATTAGGCTGCTATTATTCTTAGTTTTGAGACCTAAGAACTCTTATGTACTTTAAATATATATCCATTACAAAGATATATGATTTAAAATATTTTCTCACAATGTGAGTTATGATTTTGTTCTTTTAACAGTGTTCTTCTAAGAGCAGAAGTTCCATTGATTAAATTCAATATATCAATTCATTTATGTATGGACTATTTTCCATTGTCTTAAAAGACCTTTGCTTAATCCAAAATGCCAAAACTCTTTTTTTCTACAGATTTTGTAGTTTTCACTTTACATTTGGATTCAAGGTCATTTTCAGTTAGTTTTATATAGTGTAACACTTAGGATTCTTTTTTGCATATGAATTCAAGTGCTGCAGCACCATTTTTGAACATATTACTCTTTTTCACTGAACTGTCTTTGGACTATGTCAACAGTCAGCTGCTATGTATAATGAGGATATTTTTCTGGGTATTTTATTGTGTTATATTAATTCTATATTTACACAAATACCACACTTTATAAATTTCATTGTTGAAGACTCACACTTTTCAGATTAATCCCTAAGTATTTCATGGTTTTTTTTCTTAAATTCTTTTATTGGTACATTTTAGGTATACAATATGTTTACATTTATCATTTACATTTATCATTGTTTGTACCTGTACATGATGCATCTTGGTTCTTATTTTTTCTCCATTACCTGTGCACCCTTCACCTCCTTCACCCTTCCCTATTACATAGACTTCATTTCCATTTTTTTTTCTTTTCTCATAATTTTTCCTTTCCCTTCTTTCCTTTAGCCATCCCCTCCCACCACTCCTACCTCCTTGGGCCTTTTCTTCCTATTTCAAATTATCAGTTATTCATTTTAATCATTTTAACCCTTCTTTACACTTTCAGTTTCTCACACTAGAGAAACTATTTGGTATTTTCACATATGTGTCCTATTTATTTCACTTAAGAGTATGGCTTCAGTATGCATCCATTTAGCTATAAAGGTCTCTAGTTTCTCATTCTTTATGGCTGAGTAGTACTCCATTTTATTAAAAAACCACATCTATGGGCTGGGGATTTAGCTCAGAGGTTCCGCCACCTGGCTTGCAAGAGCAAGGACCTAAGTTCAATCCCCAGCACCAAAAAATAAAAAATAAAAAAACACAAAAAAAACCCACATCTTCTTTATCCAGTATTCAGTGGATGGGCACTTGAGCTGTTTCCAAGATTTAATTATTATAAACTGTGCTGCTATAAACATGGGTGCACATGTATTGCTGTGATATGATACTTTCAATTCTTTTTGGAAGATACTCAGCAGGAGAATACCTGGGTCAAATGGGACTCTAGTCCTAGTTCTTTGAGATATCTCAATACGGATTTCCACAGTGGTTGCACCAGTCTGCACTCCCACCAGCAATGGAGAAGGGTTCCTTTCTACCCACATCTCTAGAATGACTAGTGGGGTTGAACATTTTTTCATATATTTGTTTGCTGCTTTTACTTCTTTGTCTGAGAAATGTCTGTTCATTTCAGATGCCCATTTTTGAATTGGGTCTTTGAATT